GAAAAAAAATAGGGAGCTTGTTTTTCTATGGTGGCAAACCTCACTGTCAGAATTCTGGACAGACAGTTGGCAGGAGGAAATTCGTTTATGACTTTCTCATCAGGACCCATTGAGCTGCTTCATGGGTTATGGATCGACCCCGGGGTTGCTTCATTGCTTTACTAATCACCAGATCCAGTGATTTCATACCCACGTCTGTTACTTTGCTAAGCATGAGCAAGGACTTTGCCTGAGATTTGCCCACTCAGGTAACAAGCACTCATTGCAGGAGCCGCAAGGATGTCTAACAGAGATGTGCCCAACCTTAGGCGGAGCTGTCAGTGAAATAGAAGATATGGAGGACTTCTAACAATCAAGCAATTGGCAGTTGCCTGCCTTTAAATCACTGTCATTTAAAAGTGATTTTCCAACCCCTGTTTACGTACACCCTTTCCTAATCAATTAAAAAAACTGGTGATTTTTTTTTTTATTCCTGCATTTGAAACACTGAGATGGTCCAGCAAGAAAAGGATCCTACCGAGCTTGCTTTTAATAGCTGTGCCAAAATATTATATTTATACATATTCTCCATTTTTCTATTAATGTCACTAGAACTCCATTTCCTATATGCCTGCAGTAAAATTCATTTTCCCAAACCAAGAAGCAGACTTGGCAGTGGAGTACGTCCCTCTCACCGTACAGATTGCTTCATAAACCAGAACTATCAGAAAGGAGCAGGCCCAAGGTTAATGAGATACTCATTATAAGAGAGGATCGTGGAAGCTGCTGGTCTCCATGCCTGTGGCGAAGGAGAGGCTATTGTTATGGGATGTTTGCAGTGCTGATATTGTAAGCCACATGACAGATGGGTCAAGTGCTGGTTACAGTCTTCTAACATTTGGAATAGCAAGCAACATATTCGACAAGCTGGCAGGTTTTTATATATGATTCAACCCACAATATAAAAGCCATGAGAATTCCAAATTGAAAATAATTAAATGAGCTGGAAACAATCAGATACCACACATTTTCCCCCCAAATGACAGATTTTGACATGTTGCAATTCCACAAAGGGAGCAAGAATATTTCCTAGCTCACTTGAACTAATAATGGTCCTTCGTCTGCTTTTGCAAAGCAGTTGATTCCAGCCTTCTCCCAGTTTGGAGGTAACAGTAAGCATTTGTGGTCATTTGTGGGACCCTCCGGCTTTACAGGGATCTGTCCCTTCCCTTTCTATTCGCTCTTGTCTGTAGCCCTGCAAGGTACACAGACAAAGATAATAATACTCTCGGTTTATAGGTAAAGAAACAAAACTCCACATATGGTTTAGTAGCGGGTACAAGTTTGCATACAAAGTAGGTAGTCTGTGGAGGACGAGAAGCCGAGTGTCCAGCTGCTGTCACATCATGTCCTGTTCCTGGTCATCTGTGAGGAATAGGTGTTCTTCATAGTACAAATGCATATCTTCTTCCGGCCATCATCCATGTATACCCATCTGGATAAAGCGTCCAGTGTTGGCACTCAGCCTCTGAGTGTCTCGGTAAGGGTGGTGCTGGAGACACTGGTAAGAAGAGTCCTTGTCAAGTAATGTCACGCCTCTGTAACGCTGAAGTGATGCTCAGAAAGCAGCAGCTCTCCATTCATGTTTCACCAGTTTTGCTTGTTTAGTTGTTCTTTTCAGAGTTTGTCATCTTACTTGTCATCCTCCGTTAAAGTCACTTTGTCTTTTTACCTTTTTTTTTTTTTTTTTTTTTTTTTT